ATGGGAATGGAATACACCACATGCGAGTCACCAAAACGGAGTTGTTGAAACCCTAATTAAGTCAGTCAGACAAGCATTTAACGCCACTTGCAAGAACCAAGCCTACTCCGAGGAACAATGGAGAACAATTTTGTCAGAAATCACCTACATGGTCAACGGACGACCGCTGTACCCCAGTTCCGACGATATCTGGGAGGCCCCACCGATCACTCCAAACGACCTACTTCTAGGCCACTACAATCCACCACCACAACCAGAACCAGAGGAAAGAACCAATCTGCAACAATTACTCAGGAGCACCCAAAACAGAGTTGCTGATTTCTGGAGGAGCTGGATGAAGTATTTCGACCCAAACTTGTTACCAAGGAACAAGTGGTTTCGCGTGCGAGATAACATCGAGATCGGTGATCTTGTATTGGAGCTGGACCCCAAACACAAAAGATGTGAATGGAAAATGGCGCGTATTGTAGGCACATATCCTGGAAACAATGGACTTGTCCGAAAAGCGAGAATCAAGACAAGAGACAGAGAGTATGACAGACCAATTCACAAGTATGTCTCATAGCCACTAAAGACGAACTGAATGCGGATCGCTCAAGCTAGTCGATAGTAGAAATGGACTCTAACACCATTTTCTGACACTTCTTTATTGAACATTGAACACTTAAGCCATTATAGTCGTTGCTCCATTAGAACTAATTATTTAGACCTAATTTCCGCACTGGGGCGGAGTGATTTGCATTTTTCAAGCCGTTTGTCAATTTTTTTGTGAATATTTAATTATCTTAGCGCAACGCGGCAAAAATAGATCAGGTGACTAATTATTTTAAAAACCTAGAAGTTCGTTATGCAACTTACATTGCAAAAGTGTCACCACAGATCTCACTTCGAAGCTTACTAGCCGGATATGGAACACAAATTTTGACTATACTACTACAAGTGCAAATAAATTCCATGTACAGTCATGTACGCGAAAATCAGTTTGTGGTGAAATCTTCAACATAAAGTAGCCCTTCAATCACAGGAGCGAATCAGGGTCTTAGAGTTATTTCTGTGGGGGTAGCTATGTGGATGCCTTTGATCGCTAGAAATTGCTGGAGGGGCAAATGTGTCGGCACTTTGATCTTTCTTTCCTGAAGGGGTAAAATAAAAGTACCTCAAGAGAAGGGGTGCAGATATTAAATGGAATGGCCCTATGTAACAGACATCATCTCTTTACATTTCGGGTGGCGACGAATTTGAAAAAATAAGTCTTAGGCTACACGCACCATCATTGTGTATGCCAGCTGTCCCTTTCCTCTTGGTTTCTTTTTCGGTGATCTACTTTAATAAAGACATTTTTAATCTTCACTCGTACTTACCTCCTTGCCTTTTGCCATGGATGGTCACAGTTCGCCTTTGGAAAATTTTGTTAGCAGGAACTGAAAGAGCGTGTTAGAATAACGTAACGCGTAAATTTTCAGCCGCATATCTCAAAAGTAGCGATTGCAACGGCTCCTGAAAATAAAAAGGATGTGTCGGAAAAATAGTGGCTGCACAGGTAGCCCAAGCTCGAAATACATGAGCATCGTTGAAAGATAGCGACCTGGCTTGAGACTCAAATTACTCAAACTCGGGGTGGGAAACAGTCTCTTGCTCTCATTGACATCAATACCCTTGAGAAAGACAACAACGGGAGCAAGAGACTGTCCTCTACCCTGAGTGTGAGTAACAGGAAACATTTGTTGTGGGTTTTCTTTGTCTACCGAGCCACCCTCAGTGAAAAGAATTTTCACCTCAGACCAACGCCTTGTCCACTCTCAAAATCACAGTGTCTGGAGAAAGAATGTATTTTGAACATGGTGCCAGAAAATGCTCATTACCAGCAACATGGGTGCGGCTATTTTCCTTTTAAAAGTTTACTGCGGTGTAGTGATGATAGAAGTTTGCCTCTGGTCGAAGAAATCTGCGATTTGATGGGTTTTTGGGCCACAAACCGCCTTCGAGTAGACAAAGTCTGGACGGCCGGCTGTTTTCCTGTGCAGCCTTACCTTCGTATTATATCGAACAATCGTTTACATTGAATCAAGATAAGCAGCTGTTTTCCGTGTTGGATGGGTTGTAAAACGTTATTTTGTTGTTATTCATGTGCACATTTCCCTTGATATTATGGTAAAAACCTAGACAACCCTACCACAAAAACAAACTTTCTTGCATCGAACTATGATGAACTATTATCCACTATCATAATAGTTTCGCCCAGGCATGATACCAGTTGACTCCTGATAACTTGAATTACCGTTAATTTCCAATGAATTGAATTTCACTCAGTCAATTTTTTTTAACTTTAATAACTCAAACTATCGTTTTTAAGGTTTGACTTTTCTATTTGCTTTTTCCATGTCCCCACAATGCTTGTGTATGGTTGGTTCCAGTTGTAGTAAATGTATGGTCAGAGCAGAAATTTCGTTTCTATTTATCGTTAAATAAAAAGTTATCATCGTGGGTCTGTAAATCTTGTTTGTATTGTGAAGGTTAAACTTTGGAAAACTTTGTTTATGTTCATAAATATCTTGTAATGTGTTTAACTTTAAGTTTAATTAATGTGCCCATAAAGTCTGTGTATGACTACTACGACAATTGAGTGTAAAAGAAAACAAAGCCCTGTGTTCGAAATTAGAACACTAACCCTGCAACTACAGACACTGTTTAGGTGATCTATATGACTGACATAGAAAATTAATGAATTTTTCTTTACACTCTTTGTTAACACTGTGGTGACCTTCGTGAAATAATTTGCACTCTGAGGTGAGTTCTGGGGACCTTCAGATTTTCACTTGGAAAAGACATTTCTCAACAAATCTTAATGTTTGGAGACAATTTAGTTGTGGGGACCCCACATGTCGATGGTCCCCACAGTGCTGGTGTGTAAACAAAGGGAGGTCCCCACAATTCGGTGGGGGGAAGCCCACACATACAAATAAATAAATAGTTTTTAGTTCTTAGTTCGTAGTTTTTACAGTTTATTCTTAGTTTTTAAAGTTTTTAATCTGAAGAAGGCCAAACAGCCAAAAAGTAATTAAATTTCGTCAGATCAGTTTGCCCCACCATCCTTACTCTATATTTGTGTACAAATTCACGTGGTGGCACAGCATCCTTCGGATCCTTCTGCTGGGAGTTTGTGTAATATATATATTTAGTATATACTAAAACAGTGGATAGTGTTTTTCAGGCGCTCTGATTGGCTACTCAAACAGTGAATATCCTGCACTATTCACTGATTCACATACAGTTCCTCCGAGCGAGCGACGCCAAACTCGCGTAGGTTGCGAGCAACATGCTTTCCCGGTTTGCTGCCGTAACAAACTAAGAAATTTCAACTAATCAAGCAAGCTATTTCCGAAATACATGAAGGTGACGAAGTTCGGTTTGGAAGTTTTAACAGGTAAACCTTTGTCTTTTTGACTTGAATAGTTATCGATAAAACCAGTGAAAAAGTTTTTTGTTTATAAATGCAAATTAAGCTTAAGTCTTGCGTTATGTTATTTAGTTGACTTGTTCAGAAATAAGCTTAAAACTAAATTTAATAATCTTTTTTACAGAATTATTTTAAAAACAAACAGAATTCACAACTCCTTTTGAAGAAACTTTCCGGCAAGAGTTAAACAAACGCCTTCAAAAGTTTTATTTGTCGCTAAGAAAAAGCGACGACCGCGGCCGATCAGTCATCGCGTGCCAAAATTGTAATCGTTGGCAACAGTAAATGAGTTAAAAATCATCACTTTGTGCTCAATTATCTCACTGTTTTAGTATACACTAAAACAATTATTCACCTCAGAGTTGGTGGCTAGTATTGGATATTTACCTCGCCGCTCGGTAAATATCCAATACTAGCCACCTCCACTTTGGTGAATAATTGTTATATATTTCCTGTTTAACTGGTAGTAATAACCTTGCCCAGAAAATTTCCTACGTGGTACACCATACTGTGCATGTATGGTGTTACCTTTTCTTTTTGTTCTAATTATTTAACTGAGGGAGCCCATTCCTTATAAGCCTGGTGGCTTCTCTTGGGCTTCCTCGCCATGAGAGTTTAAGTAATTAGATTTCTTTGGGTCTTCGTGAAGCAAACGATGGTGATGAGAGCGACACCCTTTAATCCCACAGACCCTACTCCTGAGGCATGCTTCTCCTCTGTGGCCGTCACTGAGACATCTAAAACACAGTTTCTGCTCTTTAGCAATGTTCCACCTTTCATTTACTGTCATCCTCTTAAACTTCTCACAGGTCCAAAGGTTGTGGGACTCCTTGCATACTTTACACTTTCTTGAATGTTTCTTCTTAGGGTCAAAATCTTCTTTGGCAAACAGCGCTCTCTCCTTCTTGGATCCACTTAGAACACCTGCTATTGTCTCAGAAGCTGTGGTTAAAAACTCAGACTCTCGATCAATAAATTCCCTTAGTGTCTTTACACCCTCGGTTCTATGATTGTCACAGACCCACTGCTTGTACTTGGCCAGAAGATTCTTGTTAAACTTGCGTTGCAGTGAGATGTAAAGAGAGCCACTACCAAGCTCTGCTTCCTGATTAGCATCTGTAAGGTTCACTACTACTGCATCCAGTAGCTCAGCAAAAAGCTCAAGATCCTTTTCATTCCCCTCTCTTATCTGCTTAAAGGCATCCAGTTCTTCAAGTCGTAATGTAAGTGCCCTGCGTTTTCCGCCATACTTCCGTTCGAGTCGAGACTTGGCTGCTTCATAGGCTGCCGCAGAGTATCCCAGATTTTCAATAACTTTAAGGGCTTCTCCTTGCAAGCACTCATGCAACCGTAACAATTTGTATTGTGGTGAGGCTATTGCCTGGTCAACGCATGAATAGAAGGCTGCTTTCCAAGCTTCATAATTTTTCTTGTTGCCTGCAAATCTGGGAATACTCACTCGTTTCAGAGCTGCCATGGAGTCGATACTGATCTGGTCATAACTAGAACTAAATGGCTGACCAGCAATAGGCGTCGAAAACTGTACTTGGCTACCACATGACGAAGGCTGGAAAGGAGTATAACCTTGGGCTGCCGGTGCATGTAACTGATTCGAAGAAAACGCTGAAGGACGTATTTTAGAAGACCCAACAAGTGTGGTCTGGGTTGAGTTCACACGGGAATTCAATGGCGGCTGCTGAAGGGGTTGGTCCCCCACTGGAGGCAAACAAGACATTGAAGACTGGGAAACAATTGGAGTCGATGAATGAACAAAACTACTCGAGGGATAAAAACCAGCTGCACCACTAAAGTTAACAGAGGTTGATGTGTTTAAATCTGCGACGGATGAAGTACATTGCTGGAATGGTGTTGTCAACTGAATTCTCGGATCACTATTTTGTTCCTGTTCTTCTGATCTCTTCACACTAGCATTTACATTGTCCTGAACTCTAGCTGACTCACCTCCCTGAAATGGTTCCTTTCGTTGCTGTTCTGTAGACAACGATTGCTGCTCAAGTTGTTTCTTGCGTTCGGCGAACGTTTTCTCCAGGTCATGTAACACTTTCGTGATCTCTTGTTCTCGCATTTTAATTTCTTGTTCCAGTCGTTCGGATTGTTCTTTAATGGGAGACTGTCCCGTGGGTGTTGTTCTGGAAACGCTCAAGGCACCGCTCTGACTGGGGCTGCTATTCAAATATCCTCTAACAATTCGTTCGATCTCGTTGAAATCTTCCTCCACAGCTTCTAGTTCAAGCGCTACGGCGGTAAGTCTCGATGAGTCGCCAACAGTCTCATAATGTGCTTCTAAACTCTCGACTGCACGAACTACATCCTCAAAAGCAGCAGAAAGAAGATCCAAACGTTCCATCACCTGCATTTTCGAATACATTCCTCCCTCTAAAGTCATCATCAATTTTGTTTTGGTTCTTGTATAGGCGCCTTTGTACTTCGCTTTGTCCTTTCTCAATCGTTCGGCCATCTCGTGTTGTTCAGTGTTCGGTTACAAATCCTGGTAAATTATGTCAAACCCACTTAAAAAAGAACCTCGCTCTGCTACCAGATGTTCGCCAGGATAATTGGTCGGTCGAAAGTCCATAAAAACCACGAGAAAATAAACAAAACATCAACAATTTAATTTCATCTTGCTTGCTCCAAAAATGTGATGAACTAGCAGAAAAGCAAAAACCTCGTGCTCGCTAGAACAAAACTGCGCATGCACTTGAAATATGTCACAGGACAACCACTAAAAATATTCTCCAGAACAGTTTGTGTGACTTCAAATTACCCTCCAAAGTTTAATGACTGTATCACTCGTTTGGGCCTTAATAGCGCCTTTGAGCTTTGCAGGCAAATGTTGCAGCAGTAACTTATCCAGTCCCATTAAACTGGTGAAATCATAGCTTCCACTCCCCTTCCCGTCAGCATTTCTTTCTTCCCATACATTGAAGCACACACTGCAGCTGTTAATAGCCTTTAATAGAGCATGTAGATGTAAGGTTGATCTCTGACTGGCTGGTTTGTTGTGGTTTGCTTCTTTGTCCCATTCCACTGCTTCTTGTACAAGATTTGTTTATAGGTTATCTGAAACGAAAGTAAAAGACAAGTTATTTAATTGATTAAACTGTTAATCCCCTCTCCAATCCAATTACTGCAGGGTTAGATTGTAGGTTTTTTTTACGTAGCAAATTACTTCTAAGTTTGGTAGATGACATTATGACTTGCCTGTAATTCTAAGCATCCATCCAGAATTACGTTCTCAAGCCGGATATTCAGTAGGTATTGTCATAGGTTTGAATGACACGCATGGCGAGCGGACGTGTATTTTTCAGCTCCGTCAATTTGTAATGTTTTTTCTCTTTGCATTTCTTCTACTGGATTTTTGTCTTAGCTTAAACACTTCTATTAGCATTTTGTCTTAGTTTAAACATTTATAGAGGAATTATTTTCATGGGGAAACCAAGGAAACATCAATCGTCTGATGCTGCAGCGGACGAATTGAACTTGGAAACTCTTAAAGAGGAAGGAGAATTGGTCTCCATTGCTACACTGAAGCAAATGCTTGATGTTCAGCAGTCCATGCTTAAAACGCTTTTCGATTCCTTTATCTCCACTGTCAATGCAAGAGTCGATAAGTTGGCAGACTCAGTCGCGTCTCTCAAAGCAAGCCTTGAATTTACACAAAAGGATGTCGGAGATTTGTCGTCCTTAAAATCGAAGCTCGTGGGCGCCGAAAAGGATATTGTTGAAATCAAAAACACTGTGGAGCTTCAGGGAAACAAAATAGAGTACCAGGAAAACCAAAGCAGACGGAACAACATCAGAGTATTCGGTATACCAGAATCGGCTGGCGAGACTTGGGAAATGGCTGAAACGAAAGTGAAGGACGCCATCAAGGAGAAGCTCAACATTGAAGTTGACATCGAGCGCGCTCACCGTGTTGAGCGTAGAAAGTCTGGAGGAATCAATCAACACCAAGCTGATGCAAAGCCTAGAGTTATTGTGTGCCGACTGAGTAGTTGGAAGCAGAAAGAAGCTGTAGTAAGAAAGGCAAGAAAGGAAAAACCAGAAGGACTGTTTATTTGCGAAGATCTTTCGCAAGCGACGCTTGAAAAGAGGAAACCTCATTTGGAGAAGCTCAAGGCGGCCAAGCAAGCAGGAAAATCAGCATATTTTATCTTAGATCGTTTGATCATTCGTGATAAGCCCTCCGGTTCTTCAAATGATTAAGTTAAGTATATTGCAAAATGTTTTTTGTTCGACTCATTAATGGAAGAATTACCGTTTACTCATTTAAACGAAGAAGACTTTCGTTTGGCTATATTTGAGCAGTTAAATGGACCTATACGTTACGATCCCGATAGGTTAGCTAGCCTCAGGTTTAATCCTTTATTATCTGAAACATATAAAAAATTTAGCCTTTCTAGCCATCATGATCCTGATGCTAATTTCTTCACGGAGTTAGTTGACTGCGAATATTATACCGAAGAAAACTTCAATGAAATGTTGCATCAGAAAAATATATTAGAAGTCAATAATTGTTTATCGCTTCTGCATCTTAATATTCGTAGCCTTCATCGTAATTTGGATAGCTTAACCACTTTGCTAAAGAATCTAGAGTTGAGGTTCTCTTTTATTGGTATAACTGAGACCTGGCTTCGAGACTCATCGCATCATACCGATATCTCAGGTTATAATTTTGTCCACAATCCACGTAAAGATAGGACAGGTGGAGGTGTAGGTCTATATTTAGCGGACAATTTTGATTTTAAATGTCGACCTGACTTAGTTTTTTCTTGCACTGAATGTGCTGAGTCTTTGTTTGTGGAAATCAATAGGCCGAAAGAGAAAAATATAATTGTAGGTGTGGTTTACAGGCCACCAAATTCAAATTTACGAGATTTTATGAATAGCCTGGATTCGTTGCTTGCAAGTATCTCTAAGGAAAACAAGATTTGCTATGTTTTAGGTGACTGGAATCTAGACTTAATCAACCACCATTGTCACGACACAACTGGAGAATTGTTAGAAACTATGTATTCAAGAATGTTTTTTCCATTGATCACACGTCCGACAAGAATAACTTCTAACACGGCTACGCTAATTGATAATATTTTCACGAATAATTTAAACAACTTATCTGTTAGCGGGCTGATGTTTTGTGATATATCTGATCATCTTCCGATTTTCACACTGCTTCTTGATCAAAACAAGAACTTAAATAAAACTTCTTGGCTTTCTTTTCGTGACAAAAGTGGAAATAATGTCGCTAAGTTTAAAGATAGGCTTGCAAACGTTCATTGGGATGAATTATCTGAATGTAAAGATACTGATTGCGCTTATCGGTGTTTTCTTGATAAATACACTACCATTTACAATGACTGCTTTCCTCTCAAAAAAGTGAAAGTAAAGAATGTTACTTTGAGCAAACCATGGATAACTAAAGGTCTTCTTAAATCGGTAAGAAAAAAGAATTTATTATACAAGCGTTTCCTTGCTAACCCAACTCCATATCGTGAGAAACTTTACAAGAGTTATAAAAACAAATTGACACATTCCCTTCGCGTTGCTAAACGTCTCTACTACAATAAAAAGTTAGATGAATATAAATCAAATGCAAAATCAACTTGGAAATTACTTAACGATCTTATTAACAAGAAGAAAATTAAGTGTAAGTTGCCTTCCATCTTCAAATCTAATGAAGAAGAAATATGTAATCCTACTCATATAGCAAACCGTTTTTGCGAGTATTTTACGAATATTGGACCTAACTTAGCTAAATCAATTCCGGCGTCTGACAAATCTCATCGTTCTTTTCTGAATGGAGGCTTTATTAATTCATTTTTTCTTCAATCGGCATCAGAACAAGAAGTCACTGAGATTTGTAGCAGCTTTCGATCCGGTACTGCTCCAGGATATGATAGTATTTCAATGAATGTTGTTAAAGAGTCTTTTAACTTAATCTGCGCACCATTGACGTATATAATTAACTTGTCTCTTAATTCTGGAGTTGTGCCCCAAGAGATGAAAATTGCACGAGTTATTCCATTGTTTAAATCTGGTGATAAATCTTTGTTCACAAATTACAGACCCGTATCAGTGTTACCAGTTTTCTCTAAATTCCTAGAGAGAATCGTCTACAATCGCCTCATTAATTTTTTAAATAAATATGATATTCTTTCCCGGAATCAGTATGGATTCAGAAAAAATTATTCTACTGCACATGCTTTAATCCAATTGTATGACAAGATCTCAAATGCACTTGATAATAAAAGGGTAACTTTAGGCCTATTCATTGACTTATCTAAGGCCTTTGATACAGTAAATCATGAAATTTTGCTCGACAAATTAGAACATTATGGAGTACGTGGTATTGCTTTACAATGGTTTAAAAGTTATCTATCTTGTCGAAAACAATTTGTGCAATATAATGGTTACAACTCTTCATCATTAGATATCACTTGCGGAGTCCCTCAGGGATCTATCTTAGGTCCCCTGTTATTCTTAGTATATATAAATGATCTATGTAATGTGTCAAAGGTCTTAGAGCTGATACTATTTGCTGATGACACTAATATCTTCTATTCGCATACTGATGCTTCCTATCTTATGGAAGTTGTAAATTTAGAATTGAAAAAGATAACGTGTTGGTTTTATACAAATAAGCTATCTATTAATGTTAAGAAATCTAATTTTATCATATTCAGACCGAGACAAAACAGGCAAACACTTGATTTAGCTTTTAATATTAGTAATTATTCGATTGATCGTGTTAAGGAAGCTACTTTTCTCGGTGTAATTTTGGATGAACATTTAACATGGAAATCACATATACATAATGTTGCTCGGAAAGTGTCTAAAGCCATAGGTATAATTTATAAATCAAGTTTTTGCCTTAATAATTCCTCCTTACGGATGCTATATTTTAGCCTTATCTATCCATACTTATTCTACTGCGTGAGCGTCTGGGCATCGACCTACCCATCAAACCTCAGAAGATTAATCACACTTCAAAAACGGGTCGTAAGAATAATGTCGAGGAGTGCTTTCGATGCTCACACTGACCCCTTATTTAAAAATTTAAAAATTCTGAATCTTGAGAATATCTACAAACTTCAAATAGGAAAATTTATGTATCAATACAGATCTGGCTTACTTCCTTATAGCTTCAATAACATGTTTTTGGTGACACGCCAGGTGCATTCTTATGGCACTAGAAGTTCAGAGCATTTTTATTTACCAAAATGCAGGACTAATATTAGAAAATTCTCCATCAGTTTCCAAGGTCCTAAATTTTTTAACTCTCTTAGTTTTGAAATTCGAAATGCCACAAGTACCGCTTCCTTTTACTGTAAGCTGAAAGCATTCCTCTTATCATAAATAGTAATTTATATATATATATGTATTTTTTTCTTCCTTTGCTCTTTTATTTTTTTTCGTTTTTGTTTTTGTTTTTTCTTTTTGTCATTTCGCTTTTTTTAGCCTAGAACTATGATTAATACGACTATCTAATATACTTATTTTAAGATTTACTGTAGCTCTGCCATTGATTTTCCCATGTGTAATTATGATCATATTTTGTTCTAATTATTTAACTGAGGGAGCCCATTCCTTATAAGCCTGGTGGCTTCTCTTGGGCTTCCTCGCCATGAGAGTTTAAGTAATTAGATTTATTTTTTCACTTGTACAATTTTTGGCAAACAAACAATAAACAATAAACAATCAGTAAACACTATTGGATAAAAACATGTGAAAGTGCTGCGAAAAATATGTGAAATAACCTGTGACTAAAATAAGCCTGTGAAAAAACCTATGAAAAAATTTTGAGAGAATTGCTCAACAAACACCTCTGAAAAACCCTGTGAAAAAACCTAGGAACAAAGTTTGAGAAAATTTCTTAAGAAGCGTGAATAATAATGAGTGTTATTTTACATGTGAATAAAACACATTCATTAGTAAATGTTTTTTTTTAAACCGTCCTTCAACCCCGTACTATCTGAAGGTCTGGATCTGCTACCGTTCTCTGCAGTTTTCATACCCTCTTACGCTCCACTTGGATTGTCAAGTGCCCATTTGGCACACCCATGAAAAGAATTACACTTTTGGTTCCTCTAGAAAGTGGCAAGCATACAACAATCAAATGAATATAATTTCCAGGCAAAAATTTTATTTACATGAGAACCCTTTTACTTGTTATTTGAAAAGGGCAAAGCTGGCCATCTGCTGCACACTAATAATGCAAATTAATGACATGTGAAATCTTCAAGTTCCACAAAATGATGTTACGGTTTCAGCACTTTGGGGGCTAAAATGTGGAAACCTTGTTGCGAAAGTATTGAAAGAAATGTATATATTGTTTAGATTTCATTCGACATTATATTGTGTCAACATCTTTGTTGTTCTCGAGGATGTTTGTTTTGAAACACGATGAGTTATCTTACCAATTGGTTAAAACTATTCAAGTTAAGAAGTATTGTTCTAAACAAGAAAAGCACACATTATATCCTTCTCATTTACTATTTAACAGGCCCTGGTTGTTCAAGTGTTGCATAGCACTATCCACTGGATAAATGACCATCCAGTGGATAAGTATTTGGGAAACCAATTGTACTATCCACTGGGTAGATTTTTATCCGGTGGATAGCACAGTCCAACGTTTGAACAACCTGGGCCAGCATAATGAAACGAATACCATGACCTTTCAAAGGTGATCACATGTTGAAACTATAACTAAATTTAACAAAATGGTAATATTCATCATGCAAGCATCAAGTTGTGGATGCTATTTGTTGATTGCTAAACATGAAAGATGCACTGAAGCATGTTATGTAAATGTTCTAATAATATTGTGAAAGAAGATATAATTAACGCACAAAAACCAAAAAAAACTGTTGGGAAATGTAATTATTGTTTTATGACAAGGTCATTATAAACTATTGTCAATAAATAAAGGTAAAATTAAGAGGTTGTCAATTGTATTGTTATCACAGGATCCTGAATACCATCCATTTTGGGAGTAAATTTAAACCATTTATTCTCTTAGACTGCTTTCACTTCTTACCTCCCACAATAATTGTTTCCTTTAATTTGGGAGGTCACTTCCTTAACCAGCCTGCCAAGTAAAATTGACTTAATGGCCCGTTTCATGAGCAAAATATAATGAAAGCAGTTTTAAGGCTCCAACTTCTCGACACATGAATAGCCAACCTCCTGAAAACTATGATTTCATGTTGGACTTGTGCCAACAGCCTGGTTGTCTGCATCCATTGTGTGGTAGGGATGTTACTGATTCAACATGGTATGACAATGGTCCTCCACTTACGTATGTTCCTCTGCCTACCCTTGACCCAAGATGACCCTGGGGTGGTGACTGTAATAATTGCGCGGGATTTTGTGCTGCACATTTCTTAAGACCAGAAGAGCACAAAGGCTACGTTGACGAATTTGGTGTCGGTGGCTACATGTTCAAGCCGCCAAGTGTTATTATCAAGGAAGCGTTTTATAACCTGATAAAGAATGACCACATTTTGTCTGATAGCCATCTGTAAGAAGTTGCCAAACCCACTCTACTTTCTGTGGAGGAGCTGAATATGGACGTGGATCCCCCGCGATTGATGGCACAATGGCGAAAGGAAGGTGCTAAAAAAGCAGCTTGCACCAAGGCAAAGAAAAAAAGTGGTAAGTATGCCTTTTGCATCCATGAAATTGTAATTAAATGGAATACCATTTTTAAATTCCATTCGCACATGAACTTTAAGATAGAAATTTAAACGGGTTTGAAACAGTGCTGCATTAAATTCATTTTTTGTGTGTCATTTTCATCATTGCAGCTGTCTCAGTGGAAGAAACGACTTGGTGCTGGTGTCGAGAGGGAGAATATGGTGACATGATCACATGTGAAGGAGAGAGCTGCACCACGCAGTGGTTTCATTTAAAATGTGTTGGTCTCCTCTTATTCTCTCCTTGTGTGTGGCTATGTCCAGATTGTAAAGGTAAAGATGTTTTTTATCACCTGTCTAAATTCCTACATCGAAGCAAACATTTATGCATTAGCAAACATTCGATGAAATCAAATTTTCAAAATCTGAGGTAAGAAGTCAACACAGACAAATGGCAACGTGGCCTACTATCCTCTGCTAATGTCTGGCGATGAAGTATTTCTTGTTTTAAAATGATTCAGTTTTAGATCTCCTCTCTATGTTTTTTGTATGTGGCTTGTAGTGGAGGCCGAAAAATACTGCTTTTGTAATCAACCAGAATTTGGCTTAATGGTGGCCTGCGATAAGATGGATTGTACGATAACGTGGTTCCATTTAGCTTGTGTTGGACTGAAAGCAGCACCAAAAGGAAAGTGGATCTGCCCTCGATGTGAGAACATACGAAGCATTTTTTATAGTATAAGTACAATAGTGTAAATTTATATGTGTTTGAAGGTGTGCTGGCTCTATGCCTGGGTCGCTGTCAAACCCCTTCCAATGCCTATAGATTCTGCTTGAATTTATAATAATCGTCTGCATTGCAATTAACACCTGTTTTTTAGCGTTTTTGACCTTTTAAAATTAAACTTAATTACCGGTATATGACTATTGTAAAGCGCTGTTGATCAGCGTATGTAAATAGCCCTCTAGAAGTTGTGAACTTATTTATTATCAAATTATCATTATTAATTATTGCTGGGGAGTGAAGCAGCAGTTATAATCAGAATGAATAAGAAATCTATGTAAATTTGAGACTTTGGATGGATTGACAGGCAACGTTGACAATCTGGCGCATGCATTACAAGTTCACAAACATGCAAAATAGACCAAAATTACTGCAGGAATTTCATATCCTTGGGCTACACTGGTATTAAATTTACCTTTCAGGGAGCTCATACGATCTTATTTAAACTATTTGGGGGCAAGATGTTACTCTTTAGAAGCCATGTTGTTATTAACGTCCCTAAAATTGCCATTCACTCTTCGTTTTTAGATAAACCAACTACTTCTGCCTAATCACCCGCCCACCGCCATTCCCAATCATGAAATATTTTTTCAATCTGTTAAAAAATACACAACAATATAAAGACGAGTGTGGTAACCTCTTCGTTTTACTATCTCTTGAAAACGAAACTACTTTCTTTGAAGCAAGTTATTTTCCTCGGCGGTTTCGGCATGGGCCAAACTTTGAAACATATAAACAACATTCTGTACCTCGCACTGCGGCGATATGAGCCTGTTGATACAAGCGGAAGAGCAGCGCTGAAAGCACCTGAGAAAAAGGACCTCGGACATTTCGTCGATTTTTTAAACAGTTTAATACCTTTATAAAGATTGAAAAATATTTCAAATTTTCCGAAAAGAAGTAGTTCAAGTTAAGCTATGGTCAAGGTTAGAATATTTAAAGTTATAGCATTTTTGAACGGAGTTACATATTTTTACTGAACGTTGCCTGCCCAATTGCGATAGGTAACTAATATGTTTGAGCTGATACAGAGTGAATCATTGTTGACAGAGAGTATTTTGAAAAAAGAACAGTTACAAGCATTTTCGTCCTATAAAATCGAGATTTGTTTCAAATAAATGCATTATTTTAAATCGACCTATGATATTTCTGAGCCGTTTGAGATATTGACTATTTGGCGTCCTATCAGATATAAGGTGGGTCGTTAACAACGATTTGGTGTCAAGAAGAATGGATACGCAGAACAAGTACAAGGCGAGACTTGCACCCGGGTCACTGAGGTATGACTAATATGTTATACACTGAACCAACTGTGTTTATTTTAAAAGTACACCCATGCATTTATGTAATACCAAATATAATTCTTACCAGCTAGTTTTCGTTAACGCCCAACACAATGTCGACTTGTACATTAAATTGCGTCTATTAATCAAAAAAGGGCAATTTTCGCAGCAATTGACAATTACAGAAGAAAACAATATTCATAGTAGAACCTAGAGTCCTTAGTGATAGAAGCAACAAAAGGTAAAGTTTAACCTTTGCAACATGTCCTTGACAAACGATGCGGATTTGAGTTGCTTCTTCATTTGGTTCCAGTGTGTGGATACCCTACTATGCGGGGCTTTTAACAGGTCTCTTGGCCCCGGGGCTGGGGAAATAAGCCATCTTTTAACACTGGGTAAATGTTAAATTCCCCGCTATGTCCCGGGGGTCGGGGGGCCGGGGTTTCAACTGACTGATGCATTACTTCGTCTAGTTCTAATTCCGAAAGGAATTCGACTTCAATTTCTTCCTCCTCTGTTTGACTCTTCTCCCTGTCTTCAGGTACACTCGAGACCGTAGCAACTTCATCCTTCGCACTATAGCATATTTTCATATGATTGCTTCTGACTTTAACACTCGAGACCCGTTTACCCCTACACGCAGGACAAGGACACAAAACACTGGTAGCTGACGCCATTTTCTCGATCGCATGCGTAGCGTTTGGTTAGCGGAATGCTTTCATCACCTTTGCTTTTTCATTGGCTCAGATAGAGCGCAATCACTTTTAGGTGTGAAAAACCAAGCGCCAAAAGTGACCTGTACATTTTTCTCTGTTGATTTGCTTCATCTTCAGTTCTTCACCTCGGCAGTGTTTTATTCAAAAGTTTCAATATGGATTTTACGAAGATTGTAGAGCTGCTAGACAATGAAAAGAGAAAAGAACTCTTTTCCCAACCTCTCCTTTTGCTTGGACCAATGGAGCGGTCTCCTGTTGCAACCGTAGCTTCTAAACATTTTGCTGCTCCAGCAGTAGTCAACAAGTGACCAGGAGAAGACAAACATGCAGTAGGAGAAACCAACAAGTTTTCAGCAGACCAGCTGCTCGAACCAGTCATTAGGGCCGGTAAGGAAATGCCGGCACAAAAGTATTTTAAGGTAGGAGTTCCACATGACTTTACCGTCCAAGTTTTTCTTTGAAGAATTTTATAAAGGTACCAGAGTAAGAGAAAAATTTTCTTATCCACTTGTCCCTCAGAAAAGCACTATTTAAATTTGGTTGTCCAGCAAAATTAACCCAAGAGATTTTTCCCGCTAACAACAAGACTATCAGGGACGAGATGTAATAATAAGTTCCCCCTTCTTTCATTTTGCTCGGCAAAGTGAAGGAAAAAATGAAATGCTGTCGATGAATCTTGTTTTATAAGTCGCCAAGGTAAATCTCGTATTTTATGATCGATATGCGTACTGTAACAGTTTGTCACTGGGAATGATTGCTCGGACGTCGAAGGAATTGAGAGTACTGCATGCCCAGGGAGCGTAAATACCTTCAGAGAAAAATATTAGGGTAAGTTTGTTTTGGATTCAAAGGTCTTCTATTTCTAAAATCGTGTTACGGAGCACCCAGCCAGTTTGACATTCCCTTGTGCGTAAAATTTTGCACATTGCCGATCTTTATTTTATATCTCTTAGAAATCCGTTGTCAGGTTTACCCCAGCAGTTTTTTATGCCAACTCTAACGATGAAGAAAAACTTAGTCTGATCTGGGTTCTATCTCAGCTCCTTAATATGACATGACATTCATGGTGATGGGAAACCTTCGTGAATTATAACATATAAATGTAAAATAGTATAAATGTTTGTAAATCTCTGTACACAAAACCCTAGTAAATTTTGCCATTGCCCTCAAACTCCGTGACGTTAACAAGATATAAATTACATAGACAATCCTAACTAACCAGTTAGGGTATGGGCTACCTATCATTTTGATTAATTTCCTACCCGTCCGGAGAAGAAATTTAAATAAAGGTTAACTGTGAAGTGATCTCCATATGAAACCATATTGAGTACAAAAACTTTGTTACATGCTAAATCCCCTGATGAGTGTGGTCCCCCCAACAGCCAAACGAAAGAGATCTGTGGCGATTTCAAAAGAAACGATGTATAACTTCTGAAGCGGAGGCTGGAGCTATCTTCCAATGACATTATGTATAGATATAGATATAGATATATATATATATATATATATATATAGATATATATATATATATTTTTTCTTTTTTATAGATTTTGGGAGTCGGACTAATTCAAACACATTTATTTGCAACTCTGAGTTTCATGCTTAGTCCGCCTCCAGAAATCTTTATTATATTCACAGCTCTGGTTTAACCATTGAGCACTTTTATAGTAGATGAAGTCTTCAGTTTATCTGCTTATCTGCTGCTAGACCTTATACCTTATTGTTATAGTTTCTGTTGAAGGAGGCTGCCAAACGAGCTGAAATGTGGGACAAAGCCCTTCAGTTTTCCCAGATTTCACCGGAGAAGTGGAACTCTTTTAATCAATTGGTAAGTCATCTTAAGTCACAGAGTTTCGAAGCGCAAAAGACCTTTATAAAGTAGTGTGTACATTAATAATGTTAAAAAACATAAGTTATAAAGGGCCTATCTGCTCTAGTCCGCAGAAACCCCTGATGAAGGCAGAAGCTGAAACGCGTTGGGTTTATGTCAAAGCAATTTATGTTTTAAGACCACTCTCTACTACCACTACTACTACTACTACTACTACTACTACTAACAATAATAATAACAATACTAATGCCTGAGACAGTTGACAAAGATAAGACCTGGCAGTGGAATAGGAAAGGTGACTGTTAAAACTGATGCGCTGATTTTTGCAACCCTGAGAGGTACTGAGAACAAACTATGTTAAGTTTTTCTTTAGAGATAAGTTCGTGGACTCCCCTCTTCATAGGTTGTGTGGCCAAAAGGGTGAAACAATAAATCATATAATAAGTGAGTGATAGCATTTGGTGCAGGAAGAGTACAAATGACGTTATTATGCCTTCAGAATGTGTTTCTTTTTCACAGCTTTCTTTAAATGAAATCAGCTAGGCGTTTAATGTTAACTCCCTTGGTATGAGTCATTAGCTTTTTTTTGTGTGTGCAGGTCATTGATTTTTGCCCACAGTTAAAAAGCCAGTTGCATGATGTCAAAAAGTGCTTAAGCACTTCTCTGATAAACAGACGAAATTATTTAACGAGACTGGGAAAGTTGCAGGTGTGATTTTTTATAAGTACAGGCTAGGGTTCTTACAAAGTCTTGGCTTCTTGGAAATTCTTGAAATTTACCCCAGCAGTTTTCCACACCTCGAAAAAGTCTTGGAAATGGAGGTAAATTAGCGTCTGTAAACATTCTCAAGTTTTTTTTTCACAGCTACTTAAGTGGTTTAGCAGTGATATTTTTCGTTTTGGTCAAATCTTATTCAATCTCGCCCATTATTAATTTAATTTGTTTGCAGGGCATCCTGAAAAAAAAGCTTTATTCCTGCATTTTTCAATGTAGATCTATTGATCACCCATTTGATAACATTGAGTCTGGAAAAAAGAAATAATAGTATTGTTTTGGCAGAAGCCTAGAAAAAGTCTTGAATTTGGATCCAAAAATC